AAGTGAAAAAGCCTGTGGCATCTTATATGGGTGATCTTCAATATAGTTAATCTATTGCACAGAAGAGTTTGATATAAGGATCAAACAATATACACAAGGAATATTCGGATAATCTGATAAGATTTTTGTTTGAAATTGATGTATGAGACGACGAAAAGCCGAGGTTAAGTGTTGATACGAAAAATTATTAATTTCACATGAAGGAAGTGGTAATTCGAAAACATTAAAATTAGTAGCCGCATTCAATAAATTTTGATTTATTTTGTTCCTGAAAGTATACAGTTCAAAAATGTTATCAGCAGGAGAAATGGTAGAATCTTTGTTAAATTGTGTTAATATTTCGGCGAAAGAGGTAAGATGAAAAGTTTGAATACTATAATTAGGTATTTTTATTTTTTATTTTTTGGATGTATTTTGTTGAGTTCAAAAAAGCTTGGTGTTGAAATTTAGCATCTGATACGATAAGAGTACAGAAAAATTAAAGATTTAGAATTCAATTTTATTAATATTTTTATTGTCGTTTTTAACTCGAAGGTTTTTTGATCTCACAACGATGAAATTTCAGTGCTTTTATAATTTTATGATAACAAAAAGATATAAAAGGTTTTAGATAATTATTATAATTTCTTCACAGCCCGAATCATAAAATTAAGATTATTTAAGAGAGAGGCTTTGGGTTAATTATTTTACTTTTATAGTTTAAGTTCATAAAATCAATAAAGAGGCTTTTATGATTAATAATTATTCAATGATAATTTAATGATTTAAAGAATCACTGTTCTCTTTTTTTTGGTCTGAGCCTGATAAACGGCTTTCTCTTAACATATTGCCTGTGCGTTTTAATGATTTATTTAAAATTATTGTACTTTCTTTTCTTTTGTTTGGTCTTAGCCCGATAATTGGTTTTATCTTCTTAACATGCCATCCACGTATTATTATTGTGACTAATTTTTATTTCATGTCAGTCATTTATTATCATCTAATGAGTTATATTAATGTTTTATAGCCTCATCAATGCGGTGCTTTTTAAATACAGAATCATTTATAGATGTAATAATTTAAATATATATTACAAATAATGTGAAATTTAAAAGATTTAAATTGTTAACAATAATGTGTTTTCATAATTATATTTATTTAATGCAGATAAATATATAATTGAAGATTATTGAATAATCGATCTTGGAGAAAATTAATTGTTGTGGCTGATGCTGAAAATGGCTGAAGCTGGAAAATTTAAATATTTTAATATGAAATTTTTAAAAATTTTTGGGGTGCATTTTTTTAGCTTTTTTTTCATGGTTAGCTTAGGAATTAGGGTTAGTTTTGATAATAAACATGTATAAGTGGATTTTGGTAGGGTTCATATTTTTAAATCAAGGTCCCTAATTTCCAGCTTCAGCTGTTTCCAGCATTAGCCGCGACATTAATTATTCTTAATTAATCGATGGTGGTGTAGTAACATATTGTTAATCAATCGCGATATTGAATAATTGAGTTTTTTTTTTTCTTTTACTAAAATTGAAACTTTATAAATTGTACAAATTTGCTTTTTTTATAAAGTTTTACAATTAATAAAGTATCCTGATAGTAATATTTCCGTCTGGTAGAATAATCCAAGCCTAAAAATAGTGGATTTGGATTAATATTTTTTTTTTGTATTTAATCGACAATAAGAGTTATAGTTATCGTCAATAGTATTTGATAAATAAGAATCAATAAATATCGACTATAGCATTAGCATTATAATAATTCATTAATGATACTGAAAATCGTATTTGAGAAGATTTCAATTACTTGTTAATTCAGTTATTTTAGCTAAATTATTTTTTTAGGACAACTTTGATGCATACAATGCTATAAGCAGTAATTTAATTAACGAAACAAATTTATTTTTTAGATCAATTCTGCAAGAGTAACCTGTTCTATTCAAGTATGTTTGATTTTTATCTGATGTATCATTGTATGTACATATGTATGTACTATATATGAAAAATTAAAAGTAACACAAATTGTAATTTTAATAATTAAGTTAAAAATAGAAGTTTGAAAACTTTGAACGAGAATTGTAGTAAGTTGTTATACAATATTACATAACCAGACTTGCATTAATGATAGAATATTTACTAAAGAATATGGTCCAACAAATTATCAAAGTTGATCAAAAGTTTCTGAATACTCATAATGTTATGCAGTAATCCGTTTATTAAACAATTATAGAACGGTTGTATATAAAGAAGTAGACAGCATTATTTATATAGAAAAAAAATTTATTCCAAAAAAAATAATCGTTTTTTATTTTTTTGCAGATAGAAGTAGTCTTAAACACTTTTTATTAGTATCAGATTTTTCGCCTTGAATAATAGATGTATCAGAGTTAGGACCACCGATTTTCTGCTATGACAAACCCCAAATTCTGCCTGCTCTACGGGGTGATTTATGCGAAATTATGCGAAACTTTCATGTGAATTATGCTATAAATTATGCGAATTATGCGAACCAAATAAAATTATGCTTATATATAATATTTATTTAATGGAAAATAAGAATAAATATATAAATTGAATTAACTTAATAACATTTATTCTCATTATAATGATAACGGGTTGTGATTTAATTTACCCTATTGCTATTAAAATACATAAAATTTAGTGCCGCAATTGATTCTTCTGAAAGTGAATTTCGTTTGTCATCAAGAATATTTTTATATGCGGAAAAACTTCGTTCCACATTTACATCTGATATCGGAAGCCAAATATAGTCTAAAGCCAATTTTGATAAGTTAGGCAAATTTCTATTTTTTTCCCGCCAGTAAAGATCCAAATCAAATTCCTCAGCATCCAAAAAACCTTCCTCCAATTCACAATAGATCCCCCATTCCTGGATAATTTGATTAGTGGGTAATTTAAATTCTTGAATTTCCAAATATAAATTAATATTTTGGTGATTTTGTTGAACATGAATGAATCATGGATCAAAGCATTGAATTGCTTTGAACAATGGTAGTGCAGGGTGTTGATCAACATGTTTTTTAATTTGTTAAGTGCTAATTGAAATGCTTCACGAAATATTACAATATATATTTCAGAATTAACCTGATTATTTTCAAATTTTAACTGCATTTCTTCACTAATAGAAGGATTAATTATATCCGATTGTAAGAAGGCTTCAAGATAAGATAAACGATGGGCTACAAATGGTGCAATGGGCTTATTTCTTATTTCAAAAAATTCAAGATCTTCTACAAGACTAAATATAGTTATAGTTAATTTATTGTATTAAAAAAAATCAAATAATTAAACTTACCGAACTGCATTAAATGATATAAACATAGCAATAATTTCAAAAATAAAAGTAGTTGAATTATTTTTAAAAACTGTTACTAATTCTTGAATTGTTTGATTTTTGTTACTAATTTGTTCTTCTTCTAAATAAAATTCACGTATTTGTGTTCTATTTTGGTTAACCCAAAAAACAAATCTAAACCACGAATTCCATCGTGTTTTAACAGGTAATGGAGGTGAAATGACCTGATTAGTAAAAGTATTAGCATTTAAAAAAGATTTAATAAAACTAATCCAACGTCTTTTGCGTGCTGGACACTGAACAAAAGATATTTTAATATTTTTTATAATATTAGTAAAAAATTGAAAATTTTTATGATAAATCCATGTTTCGCCTACTAAATTTAAAATATGGGCTAAACAACGGTTATGCTTTAATTGGAAAATTAAAGGTGATATAATTTCAAAAGCTTTTAGCATATATGCTGCATTATCTGAAATAAAAAAAATAAGATTTTCAAAAGGAATATTATAAAATTGTAAGGCTTTCATAACTAATTGCGCAATAGATGTACTATTAACAGTTGTAATAAATTCTGTTTTGGCTAAAACCGTTTGGTTACTGAAACTAAATAATATGTTAACAACAGATTTGTTACATATATCTGTAGTTTCATCTATTGTAATAGAAATTCGTTTTTCTTGTAAAAGATTTTATAACTTTAAAACTTCATTATCATACAATTTTACTAAATATTTGCTACGAAGTTGATCAGAACTTGCAATTGCACCACCTAAAAAATAATTTTAATTAATATTACATTTAAATAGCGAAATTTATTAAAATAATTTATATACCATTTTTACAATATTCCAAAAAAAAACCTTTCAACTTATCAACTTTTTCAAGTGCAATATTAGCATTAGTAAATGCTTTTACTAATGCAATATTAATACGTTCACGTTCATTTATAAGACTGCTAGTAGTATCAAGTGTTGTTTGGCGAGATATTTTTAAATTTTCAGATTTAATTACATTATTTTTATGCTTGTCTGATCTCAAATGTGAATCTAACGTAGACTTTTTTGTATGATCCACAACATGTTTGCAAAATTCGCAAAATAATTTTTGACCGTCTACATAAAAATTTTTCTTATATTCGGAATTTTCAAGTCTACGTTCTGTTGGAGAAACCATCATTAAATATCAATACATTTACATTTAAAAACAAACAGAAATTTTATACTTTTTTTAAATCTATTTTACAATATTAAATGTATATATTAACGTTTTTATTTAATTATAAAAAGTATTTTATTTAAATTTTTTTTTGTTCTCTTTATCTTTCTTAAATTTTTTTCTTATTATTTACTTGTGAATTCTTAAAATTTCACATTTCTTGACGTAACTTTTCATAGAATTTTACTTTTTTTGTATTGTTGCCTTTCCTTATTTATAATTTCTATTATTTAACTTTTTAGGTTAGCATTAGTGTTTTCAAATCTTTATGTATCATAATTATAAAAGACCAAGTTATCATTATATAATTATATAACAGGTTTTGTAAAGAATATGTAAAGTTAACATGGGATTATCATATTATGCTTCTAGAATATGCGAATTCTGCTTTGGCATATAAAATATGCTATCGCATATGCTATGCAATAAAAATCAGGTTTATGCGCATATTATGCTATCGCCGATTTTCGGTGGCCCTAATCAGAGTGTGTAGGTTTAGCGTGTATATTATTGTTAACAGAAGAAGTGTTTGTTTCGTTTGCAAAAAATGTAGCAGGAGTGAGAGTTTCATTCGTATTTTGTGAGTTAGTTTCGTTGATAACTTGCGGGGTAGACTCTGTATAAGAAGGTCTAGCAGAAGAAGCTTCTTTTTGAATTTGGAAGATGATTTCAACAAAATTCGGGGATGTAGTTTTGTCATTCGGGGGTTTAAACGAAGAATTTTGTAAATTAGTTCTTTGTCTTTTTTGAGGGAATTGAGATGTCAATACAGCATATTTTTCTTCGATGCTGTTAAGTTGTGTATCAAGTTCTCCTTACGAAGATGTTTTACTAGACGAAGCATTTGAAGTTTGAAGGTCACTAGTTGGATAGGTCCATTCAATTTCAGAAGCGAGAATATGTGAAAGTTTTTTTGATCCAAGTTTTAACTGTTCTATAACAAATAAGACTGTTCTTTTTATATTATTTTTTAAGGCATTATAATGATTGTTTTCATTTACATATGATACGATAACTTTAGAGTCAATTTGTTTATTGTTAGTGACTCCATTATACAAATGCCTTGCTAGCATAAAACTTTCTCGACCTTCATTATTGTCAGGAATATATGAATTCGGCACTACAGAAGCTGAGTAAAGTAATAAGAGAGATGAATTTGGAAGGTCTTCTTGGATAAGAGTATATTCATCATCAGAATAAGATACAGGAACAGATTGAATTATAGTGACCTGAGAGAAATAATAAGGCATGAATCGAGTTTATAATTTCTTTGATAAAAATAAGAATAGTAATTAATATATACATATTCTATATTATCTTCACACATAATGGCCAACCATCAAGACAATAGAGTTTTTTTTGAACGAAGTAACCAACGAATCAGAATTTCTGAGAAAACCCTTGAAAGTAATTTCTCTAAATTTATCAGTACTGTTGTTTATTTAATATAACGCAGTTCCGGTGATATAACTATCATTTTCAGTAACATTTTTAGCGAGACAAAAAGCAATAAATAAGGATGACATAATGAGTAATGTTATAGAAGTTTGCAAAAAAAAATTTAATAGGGCAATTAGTTAATTTTAAAACAATCTACTAAAACAAAACTTTATTCATTAACTATAGAAATTTGACTCAAAGATTTTATTATTTTATAATAATGAAATTACAGCATTTTTATAACAATTGATTAGCAAGAAGCTTGAGGTGCTTTTTTAAAAATTTTACTTTTTTCACAGTCAAAGCTTTTTTAATTTTATGGATTCTTGCAAAAAGGTTTCTAAGAGTTAACTGATATTTTCATGATATGACTCATTTACAACTTTACATTTTTTTTATTGTTGATCTAAGCCCGATCTAATACTTAGCTTTTTTTCAATATACTGCTCGTGTTGTTTACTTAGCTTTTTCCTTTTAGCACATTGCCCGCGTATTATACTTAGTTCTTTCCTTTCTGTGTATCAATCATAACTAATCTTTATCGCGAATTAGTCATTTATTGTCTCTTAATGAGTCATACTTATCATATAATTCATAGCCTCATTAGTTGTAGCATATTATCTAGACGTATTCATAGGATTTAAGGTGCAATTAAATATATTTGAATGTTAATACGTATTGATTGCAGTATTGGATTGAGTGATTCGGATAAAAATAAAATCTGATCACGAATTCGTTTATGTACTAAAAAAGAATCACAAATCATATATGCATGGTTCACATCGATAGATGCAATTTGTATATTTATTATATAATAATAGAATAGAATAAGATAAAACATTGTGTAATCAATAAATTAATATCCAACAGATTGTTTATAATTGTACGAAAAATATTTCACTTCTTATTAAGTAGAAGAAAAAGAAAAATCCAGATTATCAATTAATCAGAACGGTAAAAATCTGACCAGAAAAAAACTGCAAATTAAGAAATAACAAAATTAATTATAATATATCCACAAGAAACTTTTAATTTTTTTGATATAAAAAAAATTGCACATTCTTTTAAAAACATATCTGCAAAATTTTCGAGAGCTCTGTGAAAGTTTGGTCAGGTCAGGTTTGCTCTGCTTTGCTCTGTACTGCACAACTAAAACAAGACTATAAATTATACAACACTTTCAACTTTGTGATACAATAAATGATCTTTTTTGGCCATTTTTTCACTAAAAATGGATCTAATACAATCAGCAAAAGTAAAAACAGAAAAAACATATTTCATCAAAATCAGATCGCTGTATAAGTGCGTTAATATAGCATATTTATACTTTGTCTTTATAATGATTTTTGTCTGGAGCATATACTTGTTGTCAAAACTCAGACAAATCCCAAAGCTCCAAAATACAATTCTTATTTATAAAAAATTAAATTATAGATAGCTATAAAGATATATCTGATTTGTTAAATAAAGATTATTAATAAAGTTTTTAAAATATAGACTATAATAGTTGGGATTTTGCCAATGTGTATATTGGAGTGTAGTAATGTTCCTTCGTCTGCTATGTGATATCGATCATTTAAAATTTTAGAACTTAGACTATACAAACTTAATAAATTGGTTCTTATTGTCCAGAGCGAAGCAGAGGACTTACATGTTTATGCACTTTGATGACTGAAATTACGATTTTAATACATCTATAATAATAATATCAAAAATATAGTTTTGGCATTTTTCGTTTGTAATGCTCCTGAAAATTTTGATCTGGAATATATATGACCAGATTTTTTAGGGATTAGGGCCATTAATTGAATGCTTCGGACTTATACCAGTTTCCGGTTCTTAGTTAAAAAAATTTTTTAAGTACTTGTTATTGGTCATATTGTGGATAATAACTGATTATTCACTAGAATACTGTTTTTATGACGTGACCGAAAATCACATCATAATGTGGTATTTGCTGTGAATAAAGCAACGATTATCAGCCACAATTTGACCAATAATATGCTTATCTGACATGTCTAATATAAACACTGATCGATTTTTGTGTATCTTATTTGGCCTCCTTTTAATATAAATACACAAATTTTCATTCATCTTTTAAGAGGTGATGAAAACTTGTGAATTGTATTAGGAGGTGGTCAAATAATATACACAAAAATTGGTCGGTGTTCATATAAGACATGTCAGATAAGTATATTTATCTGACATTTCATATAATCATATGAATTTTTTTGCACTGATATTTTTTGTATGAAATTACGTAATCAGTTTTGCAAAGCATCATAACAAAAACTTTACATAGTCATATTAACTATCGATTATTAAATATACTGTTACAAAGTAGATTTTTAGTATAGATTTTATTAAACATTATTTAATTATTTTTAGTTATTATTATTCAAAATATTTATATTTTTATATAGTTAAAATATTGGATATATTTATTATATAGATTCTTCTAGACATCTCTAGCTAGAGATATATAACTTATATATCTTTGGCCGTTTGACTAATTAAAATGCAAAAAAATTATGTGATCGCTATTTTTAATGATCACTTGATGTCGGACAGGTCAACAATCCTTGTGTAACCTAAAATTACAATCTCACCAAGCAGATAAATCATTTATTGGTATTTATAATTGCACCAAAATTTTTAACACTTTAATCGAAGATATCTTAGCACCCACTTGATTAAATTCGATAAAATTTTTTTTATTCGAATTCTACAGAACTGTAGAATTTGAATAAAAAAAATTTCATCGAATTTAATCAAGTGGGTGCCGAGATATCTTTGATCAAAGCTTTAGAAAATTTCTAAATACTGATTATATAGAAATTGTGCTAAAATTTTTAATACAGTTTTGATTGAAGATATCTCGACACCCACTTGATCAAATTTGATAAAAATTTTTTTATTCGAATTCTATAGATCTGTAGAATTCGAATAAAAAAATTTTCATTAAATTTAATTAAATGGGTGCCGAGATTTCTTTAAAGTTTTCAAAACTTAAAATTTTTGACACATGGAACTTGTCTTTATTAAATCATAGAATCGTAATAAAAGTTCGCTGTGAAAGCCTTGTAATCGATTACACAATAATTTTTTTCTTTTTACATAATTTATTATATTTACATAGTTTATTATATTTATATTATAATTACATCATATTTAAGACATAAAAAAAAAAAAAAAACTACTACTATGAAAATATTATCATGCATTTAACAAACAAGTTTTGCGCAGAAAAAATTAGTAATGATAATGATACTATACAGGTGCTGATTCCACATTCTGGCAAAACTTCAAAAACCTGAACAAAGTGTTATAGCAGAACCCAAGACACTCAAAAAAGCCAAAAAAAAAAAAATAATTAGTGAATCAAAGAAAAACAAAATCAAAAGAAAAAAAGAAAAAAGAAAAAACTTACCAAAACCTCTGTTTTATTCACTAATTTTTTCTTTTCTTTGGCTTGTTTAGGTTTTTTAGGTTTTGCTGAGACGTGGAATGTGAAATTGGTGCTTCGTAAGTTTTTTTTTTTTTTTTTTGTTTTATTCGTCAATTTTTCTTTTCTTTGGCTTGTTTAGGTTTTTTAGTTTTGATGGGATGTGAAACATGAAATCAGAGGTTTTGGTAAGTTTTTTCTTTTTTCTTTTTTTCTTTTGATTTTGTTTTTCTTTGATTCACTAATTATTTTTTTTTTTTTGGCTTTTTTGAGTGTCTTGGGTTCTGCTATAACACTTTGTTCAGGTTTTTGAAGTTTTGCCAGAATGTGGAATCAGCACCTGTATAGTATCATTATCATTACTAATTTTTTCTGCGCAAAACTTGTTTGTTAAATGCATGATAATATTTTCATAGTAGTAGTTTTTTTTTTTTTTTTATGTCTTAAATATGATGTAATTATAATATAAATATAATAAACTATGTAAATATAATAAATTATGTAAAAAGAAAAAAATTATTGTGTAATCGATTACAAGGCTTTCACAGCGAACTTTTATTACGATTCTATGATTTAATAAAGACAAGTTCCATGTGTCAAAAATTTTAAGTTTTGAAAACTTTAAAGAAATCTCGGCACCCATTTAATTAAATTTAATGAAAATTTTTTTATTCGAATTCTACAGATCTATAGAATTCGAATAAAAAAATTTTTATCAAATTTGATCAAGTGGGTGTCGAGATATCTTCAATCAAAACTGTATTAAAAATTTTAGCACAATTTCTATATAATCAGTATTTAGAAATTTTCTAAAGCTTTGATCAAAGATATCTCGGCACCCACTTGATTAAATTCGATGAAATTTTTTTTATTCAAATTCTACAGTTCTGTAGAATTCGAATAAAAAAAATTTTATCGAATTTAATCAAGTGGGTGCTAAGATATCTTCGATTAAAGTGTTAAAAATTTTGGTGCAATTATAAATACCAATAAATGATTTATCTGCTTGGTGAGATTGTAATTTTAGGTTACACAAGGATTGTTGACCTGTCCGACATCAAGTGATCATTAAAAATAGCGATCACATAATTTTTTTGCATTTTAATTAGTCAAACGGCCAAAGATATATAAGTTATATATCTCTAGCTAGAGATGTCTAGAAGAATCTATATAATAAATATATCCAATATTTTAACTATATAAAAATATAAATATTTTGAATAATAATAACTAAAAATAATTAAATAATGTTTAATAAAATCTATACTAAAAATCTACTTTGTAACAGTATATTTAATAATCGATAGTTAATATGACTATGTAAAGTTTTTGTTATGATGCTTTGCAAAACTGATTACGTAATTTCATACAAAAAATATCAGTGCAAAAAAATTCATATGATTATATGAAATGTCAGATAAATATACTTATCTGACATGTCTTATATGAACACCGACCAATTTTTGTGTATATTATTTGACCACCTCCTAATACAATTCACAAGTTTTCATCACCTCTTAAAAGATGAATGAAAATTTGTGTATTTATATTAAAAGGAGGCCAAATAAGATACACAAAAATCGATCAGTGTTTATATTAGACATGTCAGATAAGCATATTATTGGTCAAATTGTGGCTGATAATCGTTGCTTTATTCACAGCAAATACCACATTATGATGTGATTTTCGGTCACGTCATAAAAACAGTATTCTAGTGAATAATCAGTTATTATCCACAATATGACCAATAACAAGTACTTAAAAAATTTTTTTAACTAAGAACCGGAAACTGGTATAAGTCCGAAGCATTCAATTAATGGCCCTAATCCCTAAAAAATCTGGTCATATATATTCCAGATCAAAATTTTCAGGAGCATTACAAACGAAAAATGCCAAAACTATATTTTTGATATTATTATTATAGATGTATTAAAATCGTAATTTCAGTCATCAAAGTGCATAAACATGTAAGTCCTCTGCTTCGCTCTGGACAATAAGAACCAATTTATTAAGTTTGTATAGTCTAAGTTCTAAAATTTTAAATGATCGATATCACATAGCAGACGAAGGAACATTACTACACTCCAATATACACATTGGCAAAATCCCAACTATTATAGTCTATATTTTAAAAACTTTATTAATAATCTTTATTTAACAAATCAGATATATCTTTATAGCTATCTATAATTTAATTTTTTATAAATAAGAATTGTATTTTGGAGCTTTGGGATTTGTCTGAGTTTTGACAACAAGTATATGCTCCAGACAAAAATCATTATAAAGACAAAGTATAAATATGCTATATTAACGCACTTATACAGCGATCTGATTTTGATGAAATATGTTTTTTCTGTTTTTACTTTTGCTGATTGTATTAGATCCATTTTTAGTGAAAAAATGGCCAAAAAAGATCATTTATTGTATCACAAAGTTGAAAGTGTTGTATAATTTATAGTCTTGTTTTAGTTGTGCAGTACAGAGCAAAGCAGAGCAAACCTGACCTGACCAAACTTTCACAGAGCTCTCGAAAATTTTGCAGATATGTTTTTAAAAGAATGTGCAATTTTTTTTATATCAAAAAAATTAAAAGTTTCTTGTGGATATATTATAATTAATTTTGTTATTTCTTAATTTGCAGTTTTTTTCTGGTCAGATTTTTACCGTTCTGATTAATTGATAATCTGGATTTTTCTTTTTCTTCTACTTAATAAGAAGTGAAATATTTTTCGTACAATTATAAACAATCTGTTGGATATTAATTTATTGATTACACAATGTTTTATCTTATTCTATTCTATTATTATATAATAAATATACAAATTGCATCTATCGATGTGAACCATGCATATATGATTTGTGATTCTTTTTTAGTACATAAACGAATTCGTGATCAGATTTTATTTTTATCCGAATCACTCAATCCAATACTGCAATCAATACGTATTAACATTCAAATATATTTAATTGCACCTTAAATCCTATGAATACGTCTAGATAATATGCTACAACTAATGAGGCTATGAATTATATGATAAGTATGACTCATTAAGAGACAATAAATGACTAATTCGCGATAAAGATTAGTTATGATTGATACACAGAAAGGAAAGAACTAAGTATAATACGCGGGCAATGTGCTAAAAGGAAAAAGCTAAGTAAACAACACGAGCAGTATATTGAAAAAAAGCTAAGTATTAGATCGGGCTTAGATCAACAATAAAAAAAATGTAAAGTTGTAAATGAGTCATATCATGAAAATATCAGTTAACTCTTAGAAACCTTTTTGCAAGAATCCATAAAATTAAAAAAGCTTTGACTGTGAAAAAAGTAAAATTTTTAAAAAAGCACCTCAAGCTTCTTGCTAATCAATTGTTATAAAAATGCTGTAATTTCATTATTATAAAATAATAAAATCTTTGAGTCAAATTTCTATAGTTAATGAATAAAGTTTTGTTTTAGTAGATTGTTTTAAAATTAACTAATTGCCCTATTAAATTTTTTTTTGCAAACTTCTATAACATTACTCATTATGTCATCCTTATTTATTGCTTTTTGTCTCGCTAAAAATGTTACTGAAAATGATAGTTATATCACCGGAACTGCGTTATATTAAATAAACAACAGTACTGATAAATTTAGAGAAATTACTTTCAAGGGTTTTCTCAGAAATTCTGATTCGTTGGTTACTTCGTTCAAAAAAAACTCTATTGTCTTGATGGTTGGCCATTATGTGTGAAGATAATATAGAATATGTATATATTAATTACTATTCTTATTTTTATCAAAGAAATTATAAACTCGATTCATGCCTTATTATTTCTCTCAGGTCACTATAATTCAATCTGTTCCTGTATCTTATTCTGATGATGAATATACTCTTATCCAAGAAGACCTTCCAAATTCATCTCTCTTATTACTTTACTCAGCTTCTGTAGTGCCGAATTCATATATTCCTGACAATAATGAAGGTCGAGAAAGTTTTATGCTAGCAAGGCATTTGTATAATGGAGTCACTAACAATAAACAAATTGACTCTAAAGTTATCGTATCATATGTAAATGAAAACAATCATTATAATGCCTTAAAAAATAATATAAAAAGAACAGTCTTATTTGTTATAGAACAGTTAAAACTTGGATCAAAAAAACTTTCACATATTCTCGCTTCTGAAATTGAATGGACCTATCCAACTAGTGACCTTCAAACTTCAAATGCTTCGTCTAGTAAAACATCTTCGTAAGGAGAACTTGATACACAACTTAACAGCATCGAAGAAAAATATGCTGTATTGACATCTCAATTCCCTCAAAAAAGACAAAGAACTAATTTACAAAATTCTTCGTTTAAACCCCCGAATGACAAAACTACATCCCCGAATTTTGTTGAAATCATCTTCCAAATTCAAAAAGAAGCTTCTTCTGCTAGACCTTCTTATACAGAGTCTACCCCGCAAGTTATCAACGAAACTAACTCACAAAATACGAATGAAACTCTCACTCCTGCTACATTTTTTGCAAACGAAACAAACACTTCTTCTGTTAACAATAATATACACGCTAAACCTACACACTCTGATTAGGGCCACCGAAAATCGGCGATAGCATAATATGCGCATAAACCTGATTTTTATTGCATAGCATATGCGATAGCATATTTTATATGCCAAAGCAGAATTCGCATATTCTAGAAGCATAATATGATAATCCCATGTTAACTTTACATATTCTTTACAAAACCTGTTATATAATTATATAATGATAACTTGGTCTTTTATAATTATGATACATAAAGATTTGAAAACACTAATGCTAACCTAAAAAGTTAAATAATAGAAATTATAAATAAGGAAAGGCAACAATACAAAAAAAGTAAAATTCTATGAAAAGTTACGTCAAGAAATGTGAAATTTTAAGAATTCACAAGTAAATAATAAGAAAAAAATTTAAGAAAGATAAAGAGAACAAAAAAAAATTTAAATAAAATACTTTTTATAATTAAATAAAAACGTTAATATATACATTTAATATTGTAAAATAGATTTAAAAAAAGTATAAAATTTCTGTTTGTTTTTAAATGTAAATGTATTGATATTTAATGATGGTTTCTCCAACAGAACGTAGACTTGAAAATTCCGAATATAAGAAAAATTTTTATGTAGACGGTCAAAAATTATTTTGCGAATTTTGCAAACATGTTGTGGATCATACAAAAAAGTCTACGTTAGATTCACATTTGAGATCAGACAAGCATAAAAATAATGTAATTAAATCTGAAAATTTAAAAATATCTCGCCAAACAACACTTGATACTACTAGCAGTCTTATAAATGAACGTGAACGTATTAATATTGCATTAGTAAAAGCATTTACTAATGCTAATATTGCACTTGAAAAAGTTGATAAGTTGAAAGGTTTTTTTTTGGAATATTGTAAAAATGGTATATAAATTATTTTAATAAATTTCGCTATTTAAATGTAATATTAATTAAAATTATTTTTTAGGTGGTGCAATTGCAAGTTCTGATCAACTTCGTAGCAAATATTTAGTAAAATTGTATGATAATGAAGTTTTAAAGTTATAAAATCTTTTACAAGAAAAACGAATTTCTATTACAATAGATGAAACTACAGATATATGTAACAAATCTGTTGTTAACATATTATTTAGTTTCAGTAACCAAACGGTTTTAGCCAAAACAGAATTTATTACAACTGTTAATAGTACATCTATTGCGCAATTAGTTATGAAAGCCTTACAATTTTATAATATTCCTTTTGAAAATCTTATTTTTTTTATTTCAGATAATGCAGCATATATGCTAAAAGCTTTTGAAATTATATCACCTTTAATTTTCCAATTAAAGCATAACCGTTGTTTAGCCCATATTTTAAATTTAGTAGGCGAAACATGGATTTATCATAAAAATTTTCAATTTTTTACTAATATTATAAAAAATATTAAAATATCTTTTGTTCAGTGTCCAGCACGCAAAAGACGTTGGATTAGTTTTATTAAATCTTTTTTAAATGCTAATACTTTTACTAATCAGGTCATTTCACCTCCATTACCTGTTAAAACACGATGGAATTCGTGGTTTAGATTTGTTTTTTGGGTTAACCAAAATAGAACACAAATACGTGAATTTTATTTAGAAGAAGAACAAATTAGTAACAAAAATCAAACAATTCAAGAATTAGTAACAGTTTTTAAAAATAATTCAACTACTTTTATTTTTGAAATTATTGCTATGTTTATATCATTTAATGCAGTTCGGTAAGTTTAATTATTTGATTTTTTTTAATACAATAAATTAACTATAACTATATTTAGTCTTGTAGAAGATCTTGAATTTTTTGAAATAAGAAATAAGCCCATTGCACCATTTGTAGCCCATCGTTTATCTTATCTTGAAGCCTTCTTACAATCGGATATAATTAATCCTTCTATTAGTGAAGAAATGCAGTTAAAATTTGAAAATAATCAGGTTAATTCTGAAATATATATTGTAATATTTCGTGAAGCATTTCAATTAGCACTTAACAAATTAAAAAACATGTTGATCAACACCCTGCACTACCATTGTTCAAAGCAATTCAATGCTTTGATCCATGATTCATTCATGTTCAACAAAATCACCAAAATATTAATTTATATTTGGAAATTCAAGAATTTAAATTACCCACTAATCAAATTATCCAGGAATGGGGGATCTATTGTGAATTGGAGGAAGGTTTTTTGGATGCTGAGGAATTTGATTTGGATCTTTACTGGCGGGAAAAAAATAGAAATTTGCCTAACTTATCAAAATTGGCTTTAGACTATATTTGGCTTCCGATATCAGATGTAAATGTGGAACGAAGTTTTTCCGCATATAAAAATATTCTTGATGACAAACGAAATTCACTTTCAGAAGAATCAATTGCGGCACTAAATTTTATGTATTTTAATAGCAATAGGGTAAATTAAATCACAACCCGTTATCATTATAATGAGAATAAATGTTATTAAGTTAATTCAATTTATATATTTATTCTTATTTTCCATTAAATAAATATTATATATAAGCATAATTTTATTTGGTTCGCATAATTCGCATAATTTATAGCATAATTCACATGAAAGTTTCGCATAATTTCGCATAAATCACCCCGTAGAGCAGGCAGAATTTGGGGTTTGTCATAGCAGAAAATCGGTGGTCCTAACTCTGATACATCTATTATTCAAGGCGAAAAATCTGATACTAATAAAAAGTGTTTAAGACTACTTCTATCTGCAAAAAAATAAAAAACGATTATTTTTTTTGGAATAAATTTTTTTTCTATATAAATAATGCTGTCTACTTCTTTATATACAACCGTTCTATAATTGTTTAATAAACGGATTACTGCATAACATTATGAGTATTCAGAAACTTTTGATCAACTTTGATAATTTGTTGGACCATATTCTTTAGTAAATATTCTATCATTAATGCAAGTCTGGTTATGTAATATTGTATAACAACTTACTACAATTCTCGTTCAAAGTTTTCAAACTTCTATTTTTAACTTAATTATTAAAATTACAATTTGTGTTACTTTTAATTTTTCATATATAGTACATACATATGTACATACAATGATACATCAGATAAAAATCAAACATACTTGAATAGAACAGGTTACTCTTGCAGAATTGATCTAAAAAATAAATTTGTTTCGTTAATTAAATTACTGCTTATAGCATTGTATGCATCAAAGTTGTCCTAAAAAAATAATTTAGCTAAAATAACTGAATTAACAAGTAATTGAAATCTTCTCAAATACGATTTTCAGTATCATTAATGAATTATTATAATGCTAATGCTATAGTCGATATTTATTGATTCTTATTTATCAAATACTATTGACGATAACTATAACTCTTATTGTCGATTAAATACAAAAAAAAAATATTAATCCAAATCCACTATTTTTAGGCTTGGATTATTCTACCAGACGGAAATATTACTATCAGGATACTTTATTAATTGTAAAACTTTATAAAAAAAGCAAATTTGTACAATTTATAAAGTTTCAATTTTAGTAAAAGAAAAAAAAAAACTCAATTATTCAATATCGCGATTGATTAACAATATGTTACTACACCACCATCGATTAATTAAGAATAATTAATGTCGCGGCTAATGCTGGAAACAGCTGAAGCTGGAAATTAGGGACCTTGATTTAAAAATATGAACCCTACCAAAATCCACTTATACATGTTTATTATCAAAACTAACCCTAATTCCTAAGCTAACCATGAAAAAAAAGCTAAAAAAATGCACCCCAAAAATTTTTAAAAATTTCATATTAAAATATTTAAATTTTCCAGCTTCAGCCATTTTCAGCATCAGCCACAACAATTAATTTTCTCCAAGATCGATTATTCAATAATCTTCAATTATATATTTATCTGCATTAAATAAATATAATTATGAAAACACATTATTGTTAACAATTTAAATCTTTTAAATTTCACATTATTTGTAATATATATTTAAATTATTACATCTATAAATGATTCTGTATTTAAAAAGCACCGCATTGATGAGGCTATAAAACATTAATATAACTCATTAGATGATAATAAATGACTGACATGAAATAAAAATTAGTCACAATAATAATACGTGGATGGCATGTTAAGAAGATAAAACCAATTATCGGGCTAAGACCAAACAAAAGAAAAGAAAGTACAATAATTTTAAATAAATCATTAAAACGCACAGGCAATATGTTAAGAGAAAGCCGTTTATCAGGCTCAGACCAAAAAAAAGAGAACAGTGATTCTTTAAATCATTAAATTATCATTGAATAATTATTAATCATAAAAGCCTCTTTATTGATTTTATGAACTTAAACTATAAAAGTAAAATAATTAACCCAAAGCCTCTCTCTTAAATAATCTTAATTTTATGATTCGGGCTGTGAAGAAATTATAATAATTATCTAAAACCTTTTATATCTTTTTGTTATCATAAAATTATAAAAGCACTGAAATTTCATCGTTGTGAGATCAAAAAACCTTCGAGTTAAAAACGACAATAAAAATATTAATAAAATTGAATTCTAAATCTTTAATTTTTCTGTACTCTTATCGTATCAGATGCTAAATTTCAACACCAAGCTTTTTTGAACTCAACAAAATACATCCAAAAAATAAAAAATAAAAATACCTAATTATAGTATTCAAACTTTTCATCTTACCTCTTTCGCCGAAATATTAACACAATTTAACAAAGATTCTACCATTTCTCCTGCTGATAACATTTTTGAACTGTATACTTTCAGGAACAAAATAAATCAAAATTTATTGAATGCGGCTACTAATTTTAATGTTTTCGAATTACCACTTCCTTCATGTGAAATTAATAATTTTTCGTATCAACACTTAACCTCGGCTTTTCGTCGTCTCATACATCAATTTCAAACAAAAATCTTATCAGATTATCCGAATATTCCTTGTGTATATTGTTTGATCCTTATATCAAACTCTTCTGTGCAATAGATTAACTATATTGAAGATCACCCATATAAGATGCCACAGGCTTTTTCACTTTCCGTTTATACTAAAATAAATAATAAAAATATCATTAAAGTTGCTGTTTGCATAGATGTAAAAATGAAAAAACATGCTGCTATCCTTCTGTATTAACCCACATTCCTCCTCAAATACATAATATTCCTATGTTCTATAGAAAATACCTCTCTTCCATTTTCATGAATTGTTCACTAGGTCAAACTGCAGGTGCAAATCCTTACACCAACTATCGCCATCTTAAAGGATCTATTAACCTATCACGCAATTACAAAACTCTCCAATTATATTTTGGATTAATTGGATGTTACTTAAATATCAACGAACCACTGAATTGGTTCCATAATTCTTTAATTCCCATATCTGAATGGCTCAAACAAACAAATCCTCTTATTCATTAATATGCATCAAGTATAACTATCAGCTGTCCAACTCTAACAACACCTATTCCCATTCCCTTACCTTCAGTTCAACAATCACTTCAAACTACTACTTAATCCACAAATATATATCGCAGTAATATTCCTGATAGTTTATCTCGTCCACCTGACTTAGTTGTTCCAAATAATTCTTTTCCTTAAGAAATTCATGATGAAGATGCGCATTATAGTCACCTGTTAGCTAGTTCAATAATCAGTATTAATAAGCCCCTTACATTTAATGATCCATACCTAGAAGCTTTGATGTTTCCTGACTTATTTCCTAATGGTCAAGGACATTATGAAAGTATAAGACAACTACTAAATTTTCAACCTTCGGTTGATAGTTACAGAAAATATATAAAATTACGCCTACTTTGTCCTGATCCTCATTTCCATCTCCATTGGTATTGGCCTCATTGGTCATACTTAAACCTGGAAAAAAGAAGAAATTTTCAAAACCAACACCACATATTGTCAACTAGAAATGTTAATCGTAAATATCATCTGACAAGAGCAGATTTAATTGCCGAAAGCTCTTATAATACCCGTAACATCGTAGATGAAACTAAAACTACCACGATTCCTTCAAGCCTTCGAACTGCTGCTTCTTTTTTTCAACAGAAACAATATCAGGTTAATACTATGATAAATTCCTTTAGTTTGCCTCAAATTTTTTATACTATGACTATAGCTGAAGATAAGTGGCCTCAGCTACATAAAATATTAAGACAAACCGACAATAGTGATACGCTACCTACTAATCGTCCACTACACACCTACCTATTCTATCACAACTACTTAACCAATGTTCGTAATAAACTTTAGAAACACCCAACCCTTTCCAGATGGGATAAATGGGTGCATTTTTTTGAATGCGATGAATTTCAGAATCGTGGAACTATACATACACATAAATTCACATACACAAAAAAAAATTTCTGAGTTAATCTTTTTAAACGTAATTCGCACTGATCTCCCTGATCCCGTCTCTGAATCTGAATTACATGCAATGGTATTATCATTTCAAAACACCATTGCGATTATAGGTGTCATGGTTCAAGTCCTAATAGAGAACCGTGTTTTAAAGGTTTTCCTCAACCCTTATCTGAAAGAACTTATTTTTCACAACACTCTTTACGTTATGTCTATCACCGTACAAAAAATGAAGACAGAATGGTAGTTCCCTATCATCCTGAAACCTTATTAGTATGGTGTGGTCATATTAATTTTCAATATGTCACTTCTATCGGCTTTGCTAAATACATAACTAAATATATTACTAAAGCCGAACTCTCAGAATTATTTAATATTGATGAGACTAATAATTATAAAAAACATATTATGACAAGACGGTTAGGTGCAATGGAGTTAATGATCCTTTTGCTACAATACCCTTTAACAAGATGTTCTGTCTTTGTACACTACCTTTCTTTCACTCTCTCGGATTTACGCGTAAGGTCTGTTAAACCAATTCACCTTCTATATCATATAAATGATGATGGTGATAATGTTGATTAAGACGATGAAGCACCATATTGGGATGACGCCATCGATAAATACTTTGACTAACCTGACTATGAACGTTTTTGTGAGATTACATATCCTGATTATTTTCGAAGTTATACGTATAGATCTAAATTACCTGACCCGAATTCAAAACTATTTCATACCTGAGATCGAAAAAATAGAATCGTATCGCAAAGAAAAACACCTATTCTTTTGCATTTCACTAGCTACAAAATAGAAGATGGTGAACCTTTTTTTTTTAACATCTTATTATGAAATTTCTTGTTAGATCAGAACACAAATTATTAGGTGGTTATACCTTCTATAAAGAACGATTTCAATCTGTCTTCCTATTAGATTTGCCCTTAAAATTAATTTCATCTGTCAGAGTCATCTCCTACAAAAAAATAATTTATTGAATGCTTATAATGCATTAATACAATCACTTGTATCTGAATTTGAAAACCAAAAATTATCCACCTTAATTTTTAATCAATTCGTTTCTCTAGAAAAGTACATACCTTACTCGAATAATTGTTCTTTTCTAACTCTCGACACTAAACAATATGAAATCTACAATCTTTTATGTAACGTATGGGAAAGATTAAATGATGGTAGATACCCTTATTTCTTTTTAACTGGTTCAGCTAGAACCAGTAAAACTTTCTTGCTCCACCTTTTAATTTCATACTTATCTTCAAAAAAAAAAAAATTTCTCTTAATGGCACCTACCGGAGTTGCTGCACAAAATATTAATGGTAAAACAATTCATTCTACCCTAAAAATTCGATTTCGAGATAATTGATATGAAACCTTAATCCATTATGATTCAGAAAATATATCTGAATTAAAAAAAATAGAGTTACTCATCTTTGATGAAATATCCATAGTAGACGCTGATCTATTTACTTTCGTTAGTGATACTTTTGCAAAGATCCATGATAATAATCTTCTCTTTGGTGATTTACCGACACTAGTCGTAGGTAATCTAACTCAACTACCACTAGTACACCTGTTTTCCGTTTTTCGTTCACCAGCTTGGCTCAGATTTTTTCCTCTATTTCTTACCACTCCTCAAAGATAACATCACGATACAGAATTTTATAATGTATTACAAGAAATATGTATTGAAAAATTATCTGATACAGGCAAATCCGTTCTTGCATCTAAAATAAATCCTTATATCTCTTCTGATAAATTTTTTGACACAACTCATATAGTACCTACTTAACAAGCTGCGGATAATATTAATCAAATACTTTGTCGTTATCTTCTATTAAACCACTCCTCTTGTGAACCTAAAATTTCTAAATATAAAGATTTGTTAAATTATGAAATATTACCTCATGATCATTTATTTTCCCAATTTAAAAACATGACAAATTTACCTTAATCTTTATGCTTACAAGAAGATGCCTGAGTTATGTTTTTGAATAACAAATTATTTGATGATGGCATCTGCAACAGCACCATTGGGATAATAACTAAACTCATAGATAACAATAATGTCGAAGTAATAGTCCAAAAAGAAACTTCTTACTTCCATATCAACGGTCAAACAGCTTCAAGACAACAGTTTCCACTTCAAAATGCATTTACCCTTACTACCCACAAAGTACAAAGTTTAACCCTACCGCACGTCACTACTAGCATTGATGAAACTGTATTTGCTGAAGGCCAAGTATATGTTGCTATAAGTCGCGCAACTTCGTAAAATACTCTCCACATCTTAAACTTCGATTACAATTATCTTAGATCTCCTACTTCAGCTCTAGAAGAATATAAAAGATTAATGATTATACATAACAGGGGTTTACATAATTTATAATTTCTTTTACCTTTAGCTACCTTTTTTTTACTCAACCCCAGATTTTTCATCTGTCACTCTCCTACATATTTGTATATTTATATTAAACCAAAAAATATATTATCTGTTATTATACAATAAATAACACAATGATACATACGTATGTACATCAATATACTTATATAGAACCGCTTATTACTTTTTTAACCGAAAATTCAAATATAACAACCAATAATTCAGAATTACTCTACCATATTTTTTCCGACCCGTGAAAAACCTGCCTTAATTGACAAAATTGCTATCGACCTTTTTTTTTTCTACCAAATTAAGAACTCACTGGTCTAAGTACGTCGGTCCCCTCTTGTTTCTTAAATTATCGACTTCAATAACTGACAAAGTATTTAAACTTTATTGGTGCTAATAATTTAGGAAATACACTATTTGATCCCGAACGTACTTGCTATACTTTGTCTCTATAAGGAGATTGCATGAGACAATAGGTTTCTTTTTCGAGTTTGTATCACGAGTAAAATAGTGATGGCGCAAAACTTTGGCGGTCCGTGATGTCCAAGCCAAATCAGAATGTCAAATCACCTTTGTAGAACCTGGCCCTGATTTGGAACATGATCAGTTCTGAGGTCCCAAATTTTGCGTCGCACAAATAACGATATAACGATGGTTGTGTAACTAATCTGTTAAGCAGTTCTTTCATTACACGAAGGGCAACGATTGTCTTGCAAAAAGAGTTAGACTGTAAAGCTTCGAATTGTATTCCGAATATGGGCGGATGCTTCACATGCATTTGAAAAAATCGGCCAAAAATTTTTCCGAATCCCTGATTAGGATAGGCCGGGAAATTAGGTTAGAAATGCCGGTGATAAACATATCGATATGTAATATCTTAATGAAGCAAGTATTGTGTAATATTTGTCACTTCGGCAACGGTTAACGGTAATTCTCATCTTGTGTAATCTTACTACGGCAACAGTTAACGGTAATTCTCATATAACGGTAATTCCATAATTCTTTTAATTTTTTTTAATTTTTACGTAATTCCGTAATTCTTATTGCTATCAATATTAAAGAATCTTATAACATGGGATTATTATCGTCACCAGGCACACCTCTTCAATGGGAAGAGACAAAACAATATGCACATAAAATTCGCGCTCTCGGAATAAGCTATTTTGTATCTGTTTACAAGAAACTGAAAGAAAAGGAAAATTCTTGTTTAAAGTGGGGCGACGAGGTAATTTTCTTTTTACACTGTTGTATTTCGGTCATCTGTTTGTTTATTAATCTATTGCTTTGTAGGTTGAATATATGGTTATTGAGTATGATGATGAAGCGAAGAATGCGAAGTTATCATTAAGAATTCACGAAATCTTGGCTGAGTTACAAAAAGAGGAGGAAGAAGCACTGAAAATGCCTAATTCTGAGTAAATCACTTTTACATTGATTAATCAAAAAATATATATAGAATTTAACATTTTTATATTATCCTCTAGACAAACGATCAAAACTTTATGGAGACCAGAGTATGGAAGATACATGCTCGAAGGTATTGTTAATGCTTATCAATGATTCACTTTTCAACCATTGTTCTTACCATGCATTGATGTTTATTTAGGCACACCGGGCACACCTTATGGTGGTACTTTGAAAAGCCTGCTTCAAATAGAGCCAAATATGAAATTGAGAAGAGAAATTATTTCAAAATTTTTGAGGCCAAATGAAGTAGCAATTACTTTGACTAGCTTTCCTCGTCTTGGTGCTTCAGGCCAATTTCTGGAACCTCACTATGAGCCAGCAGGAAATGCAGCGAGAAGTCTGTTTGTACCTGACGAGGTTATTAACCCGCACGTTAGATTTCCGTACGATATCTTTATATATCATTGATAGATGTTTTTTTTTTTTTAAGATTATACTTTAATAAATTTCATATTAAACAGGACTCTAACTGCCAATATTCGAGAACGTCGTGGATCGAAGGTTGCTATTAATGTGCCAATTTTTCGCGATAAATGTACACCCGATCCATTTATAGATACGACAATTCCTCTAAATCGAAATTTATTTCCCGAGGATAAAGAAGCTGCAGAAGGCGCAGCGCAATCGGATCATATATATATGGATGCTATGGTTTTTGGAATGGGTTGCTGTTGTTTACAAATTACTTTTCAAGCTTGCAACGCTGAAGAAGCCAGAAGGCTGTATGATCAACTGGCAGTAATGGGTCCTATTATGGTAACTATTCTATTTTATGTCACAAAAACTCAGTTTGTGTAATTGAAAGTTTGTTAACTACGCATTTAAATAAATTTATAGTTAGCTTTAACTGCATCTGCACCAATCTGGCGTGGTTACCTTTCAGATATAGATTGTAGATGGAATGTAATAGCCGGAAGTGTCGATGATCGTACAAGAGAAGAACGGAGTTTAGAGGTTTATTTTTAATCTCAAAAACTGGTTACTATCTCGTGTGATTCAAATATGTCGAAGCCCTGACTCATTTAACAAGCTATAGGGTTTTTTTCACAGCCCCTCAAACATGACCGTTTTGTGATTAATAAATCGCGTTATGATTCGATTGATTGCTACATATCCACAGACAAGACTTTGAAACCGGAATATAATGACCTGGATTTAGTATATGATAGTGATATTTGCAAAAAATTGATGGACAATGGTTTGTACCTGATAGCTGGTATTGAATGATATTTATTTTCTAAAAAGATTTACTAATTTTACTTCTCGTTTAGGAATTGATGAATTATTGGCACGCCACATATCTCATCTGTTCATTCGTGATCCTCTTGTTATCTTCAAAGAACGGTTGGAGCATGATGATGACGATTATCATGACCACTTTGAAGTTAGTTTTCATCATAGCATTTGATACCTTATTTAAATCTCATCAGTAATTTATTCAATAAAAATTATCCTTAATATCAAAATATTCGTAGAATATTCAATCTACAAACTGGCAAACTATGCGCTTTAAGCCTCCACCACCAAATTCAAATATTGGATGGAGAGTCGAATTTCGCAGTATGGAGGTTCAAATAACCGATTTTGAAAATGCAGCATTTGCAATTTTCATTGTGCTTTTAACACGTGTTATCCTGAGCTATGGACTAAATTTTTACATACCAATATCAAAAGTAAATTTATTTATTCTTGTTCATCATATGAAAAGCACATGATCATAATACTAATTATTTTATTAAACAGGTGGATGAAAACATGAAGATTGCTCATAAGCGAGATGCAGCAATGAGTGAAAAATTCTGGTTCAGAAAAAATGTGTTTGCGGAAAGTAATATAGTTAATGATGGTGACAATACTCATGAAAATGGTACGTTATGCATCTATATATTGTCTTATTAAACCTTAACATAATAATATTCTAGTTGAAAATAATATAATTATACATAGCTTTCAAATCTCATCATGAATAATCAATTTAGAATCTCCATCAATACCTGGTGAAGAGACTTCTTCAGATAACTCCCGTCTAAATGGGCATGCAAATGCTAATGAATCGATATCGTCCGTAGAGGATGAATATGAACAAATGACCATCAATGAAATTATTAATGGCAATGTAAACTATTAATACTTTAAGTTAATTAATTATTCCAATGCCATTATTTAATAAGTTTGCACCACACGTTTTTAATGTTTTTAATGCAGGGTGACAAATTTCCAGGGTTAAATGTTCTAATATGCCGATATCTTGAATCAGTAAATATTGATATCGAAACAAGATGTCAACTAGGAATATATCAAGAATTTGTTAGCAGGCGTGCAAAAGGTAAATTATGAAATCTTTTATATTCGCATTATATTTTTCCTATTTCCTTATATATAAAAAAAAAAATACGATTCCTCAATAGGAAAAATTCAAACAACGGCAACATGGATAAGGAATTTTGTACAATCACATCCAAAATATAATAATGACTCCGTTGTTTCACAAGAAATTAATTATGATCTTGTGAAAATGGTTGAAAAAATACAAAAAGGCCAAGTAGTTGTACCTGAATTGTTAGATTGCTTTAAAGTTTGATTGGTTGTGATGTTAATCGGTAAAACATTAAAAAAATTCTTTATAAGCTATATTATTTAGCTTACAATAAGAATGGTCATGATAGATTACAATGCTTAGCACCATATTATGACTATAGCTTTTTTTTTCATGATCACAATGGTACCGTACAAATTTTTATTGCATTTATGGTGCGGGCTATATTATAATATACTAAGGGTTTTATCGATAACTACAAAATTAAATATGATTGGTTGAATTTCTTTATACATATTTAGGTTTTTTTGCATATTTGGGGGACGTCTAAAGCGGAGTAGATTCATATATTTTATTGAATTAGTTTTAGGGTTAGGTTAGGTTTTATATATATGCAAAAATTGGCGTTTCGACATTTTTGATTATCTATCCAAGGTAGGTTTAGACTGCTATCTTTTGTATTTTTTAGTTTTTCATTTTGTTTTCGCCAGAAATCATCTAAATTCTATAATTTGATTGATTCGATGTTATGTAAATCTGCTTCGCTTTAGACGACCCCCATATGTAGCAATAGTAAATATATTTGTTAAGCCAATAAATTTAAGGAAGTTACACTTATTAGCTGAATATACCTCCCTTCTTGGAGACTGTTCTGATTATAAAATATTGTATTTTTATGTACCCTTGTATATTTGTATGCACCTCTTGCATGTTCGTGCATGATCATGCATATTCATACATATTTATGTATAAATATGCCTGATTATGCATGATTACTGTATATACAAATATATATATTTTTTTTTTAATGTTAAGGTGAGGTTATGTTTTTGGTTTTTATTAATATATATTTATTATGACAAGTTCTTTATATACAGTCAAACCCTTCTATAGTCACCTCCTCTATAGTCACAAAACCAATATAATTACAAATTTATTGTTACTAATTATTTATAACTATATAGGCAATACCTTTATATTAGTCACATCTCTTTATAATCACAGTATTTTGTATCTCAAAGGTGTGACTATAGAGAGATTTGACTGTATATGTTAATGCATCACTACATCAGGAAATTTTAAAGCCTGATTATAATTATTTTAAAACAATTATAGTCAAACATTCTATAGTCACCTCCTCTATAGTCACAAAACTAATATAATTACAAATTTATTGTTATCAATTATTTATAACTATATTAGCAAATTTAATAGGGTGAAATATTTTAAAATAATTTACGAACTGTAAAAAAATTGTAATATTATGTAATATATTTCAAAAACATGCGAAATATAAAAATTACGAAATATTTCGTAAGATATTTTAAAATATTATATAAGAAATTTTGAAATAATTCGAAATAATTTCACAAAATAAATATTAGAGTTAAGTAATATAAATAAATTTGAATTAGTTCAAATATAAATAAATAAGTTAAAATAATTTTAAATATTAAATATAGCTAGGTTTTCATCTTAAGACAATTACTAAATTTTATTTATAAAATAAATTGATATGTATTAAAATATATTAAATTAATTCTATAAATTTGAAATAAATAAGAATAAAATGTTAAAAATATCATAAAGATGGATAGGAAAATTATGAAGAGGAAGATTATTTATTAAACATTTTGAAATAATTCAAATAATTCGAAATAATTTGAAATAATTAAATTTTGATTCATGTTTTATATTTTATATTGCAAAAATTTTAGTATAATTAATTTTTTATAATATTATAGAAATATTTTTATCTTAATTTAATATTATCAAATTTAGTATATTAAATATATTTGCTATATTTACCTATTTTGATGATAAATATCATCTAACTTGTTTAAAGTATCTTTTAATAGTTAAATTTAGATTTAATTTAATTAATTCGCTATATTACAATTTATTTAATATTGTAAGCTATCATATTATAATTTAAATAAATGAATACAATATATAACTTTTTAAAATATTAAATTAATGCGAATTATTCTAGGTTAGTTAGAAATAATTAAGAAATATGTAATTGAATTTCAATTATCTACAAATATTTGAAATAAAGAGCTCAATATATAAAAGTTAATTAATAACAAATAAAAGTTTTATAAATAAAGTTTTTAACTTATAGATCATTATTAAAATTATACTTATTTAGTTTTAAACATTTCAAAACATTGCGATATAATAATAATTTAGCTAAAATTTGACAAAGATAAAATTTAACAGTTTTAATCAATAAGATTTTAAACAATTCGAACTAATGCGAATAAACTTGAAATTAAGCCAATGTAATTCATTTTTAAATTTAATTTTATTTCGAAATTATTTGATTTTCTGTTTATTTTTAATATTTATTAATTAAATATAAATTAAATTTTTTTTAGTTTTTTCATTTAATTTTGAATCAATTCGAATTAGTCAAAATAGAATTAACGTTTTAAAATACTATTTTTATATTTGTCTGCCTGTTTTGATTTTGTATTATTGCTATTTTGAAATGATTGAAAATAGCAAATAAATTTTTTTTGGTATACACAAGAACATATGATTATGTGATCAATCGATTATATATGCAGATTAATTAAAAATTAATTTGCCTATTTCGTAATTGTCGAAATTATATTAATTTCAATTACTATTGTTTTAATTACATAAACCAAGAATCAACCTTCACTTAATATATTAATAAACCGTATATTCACTGTTTGTATATTTGTGAATTCATCTAAAAGCTTTATTTCTATTTTTCATCTATTTCGATAAATTTTAATATAATTAAATATTTTTGCAACCATGCGAATTATAGTCATATTCTGTGGGTATATCTTTCAGTCAGTTTAATCCAATTTTTTATTACTATACTTCTATTTTACTGTAGTCATTAAATATTGTATATCTATACTATATACTAAAAAAATATGTGTGTAAAGATAACGTTTAGATTACTCTATTTATACTGTGTAATGATAACGTTTAGACTACCTGTATAATTATTGATTTAATTGATTTAATTGTATAACTGTAGATCATCCTAATTCAGTCAGAGAATATACCAAATTTGGAAATCGGGTTCTAGAATGATCCACGTGCCGATTCGCAAATTTGATTGGCTCTGTCACGTTTTTTTTGTATCCTTTTCTCTTGAAGGTTTCACGGTATTCGTTGTATTGATTTCCACTAAACGATATTCAAACAGTTAGTTTAGAACGTCTACTTTCGATCATCCCAAAGAATCCCTCACAGTAAACCGATTAAAAAAAAGTAAATGAGATCATAAGATCGGCTTTTTTTTTACACATTTGCATATTAGAATAAGTGATCTTTCTAACTAAACGATACTTTAAACGTTTTTTTTGTAG